AAAAAAAAAAAAAAAAAAAAAAAATGTGGATGAGTATGTAACTCAGTATGAAAGCCCTGAGTTCAGTTCACCATACCAAAAAAAAAAAAGTCATGTTTTTTTAAAAAATGTATTTCAGTCTTCCTGGAACAGAACCTAAGGCCTAAAGAACTGGACATTAGTCAGAATAGAAAGAGAAGCCGAAAAGGCATAATTAAAAAGACAGGAAGGGCTGGGGATTTGGGTCAGCGGTTCCTCTGCCTGCCTTGCAAGTGCAAGGACCCAAGTTTGATCCCTGGTACTGCCCCCCAAAAGACAGGAGAAGGCACAGGAAACAACAGAATAGACAGACAATTTGGACTTCATGAAAATAAGAAAATTTTTTGTCCAAAGACAACAGTGCCAGAATAAAACAGCAACCCACAGAATGGGGGGAGAATCCAAACATCATATATCTGAAAATAGAAAATTCCTCGAATTAAAAAAAAATTAAAAACTGATGGAAGGACTTGTTCCAGATATTTTTCCAAAGAAGCTTTATAAATGGCCAGTAAGTTTTCAGAAAGATGCTCAGCATCACTGGTTACTAGGAAGACGTGGATCGAACCTATATGGAGACACTGTCTCACAGCCACTGGGACTGCTGCTGTGTCAAAAGAGAAACACAGAGCAACAGCTACTGGTGATGATGTGGAAGAACCAGAGCCACTGTGCAGGTGGAAATGGTGCATCCCCAGGGAAGACAGCCTGGCCGCTCTTCAAAAGGTGAAACAGAATTGGTCTAACCCAGCAACTTCACCTCTGGGTGAAGACCTAGGAGAGTTCAAAGTAGGCTTTGGAATAGGTGTTTATACACCCGTGTTCACAACAGCTCTGCTCACAACAGACAACATATGGAGGCAACATCTGCAGCTATCTAGGGCAAGTAGATAAACAAAATGTGATTTCTGCACACAACAGAATGTCACTCAGCTTTAAAAAGGAAGGACATTGCTACACAGGTCATGACATGGATGAACCCCAGGATATTATGCTAAGTGAGGTGATGCAGTCAGAAAAGACAAAAGTGGTGTGATCCCAATTATCCGAAGCACACAGAAGAGTCAAAATCTTGGAGATGGACACAGAATGGTGATTGCCAGAGGCAAGGGAGGGAGGATTGAGGAGTTGTATTTAATGGGTTACAGACTTTCATTTCCCCCAGAGGAAGAAGAGTTCTGGGGATGGACAGTGGGGGTGGTCGTGTAACAGTGTGGATGCATTTAATGCTGTACACTTAAAAAATTGTTAAGATGATTAATGTTATACTATGTTCTTTTAACCGCAGAAGAGGGGACATGTTGCAGAAGATGCGGCCACAGAAGTCAGGGAAGGGAGGATTTCCAGAGAGGGGCTGCTGTCCACTGAGCTAAATGCTGTGGAGAGGCACGGATGTGAGCAGAAGAGAAGGTGCCACTGCAGCCCTGGCAGGTGCTGCAGGCTTGAGGAGCACTTTTGGCAGGTAGTAGGCCTGCAGCAGGGAGGCACAGTTCTCAGGGGGACTGAGGAGTGAAGGGAGGAGAAGACAAAGTCAGGGCCAGGGGTCACAGGTCTGAGGTAGCCGTGGCTCCTGCCCTGGGAGTTGCCGCTGGCTTGATTCTGGGCGGGGGCCACCCTGTCACAGTGCGCAGGTGTCCAGTCACAAAGGCACACTGCTTTGGCCACTTGTGCTGGCCCATTTTTCCAGCCACTTTCCAGGGAAAACAACCTGGAGTTCCTCCCGGTTCTTAGGATCCCCCCACCTCAGTGCCCCTCTCTCCAGCGGAGGCCCCCTGACAGCCTTCTTGAGGAGCTGCTACCAATCCTATCAAATCTGAGTATAAGAACAGAGCCTAGACCAGGTCATGTAAGCCATTTATTGGTTTGTTTTAAAAATATGTTATTTTCTTTATACACGAAGTTTGGTGAGAAGTGCTCAATTAGTTCAACACCATCTGGCACTTGAGGCGTGTCCCTCCCCCCTCCCTCCTTAGTCTCCCCTCCTGCTGGTCACTGTGCAGTTCTAGAGAAAAAGAGAGAGCTGTATCGACCTTAGGAGCCAGCTCAGCCCCGCCCTTCGTGCCACCCACAGCCAGGGCCAGCACCTGTCTCCAGGCTCCCAGGCTGTCCACAACACAGACCACAGTCTCCTTCCGGCTGGCTGCATTCCTGTGGGCAGGGGAGTAGGGGACACACTTCTCCAAGCCTTGAGAGCAAAGCACAGGTCTACAAAAATAAGATTTCCACTCTGAAAAGTGTCACTGGGACAGTTAAAACCAAGCCCCACGCTGGACTCAAAGGGTACATGGGGGAGGCTCTAGGAGTGTGTGTGGGGGGCAGGGTTGCCACCAAGGGAACTGGGGCGACAAGAAACATAATACTTTACTCGCTGGCAACGCTCCCTTCAGCACTGCCGTGCGCATCGTGATGGTCCGGCCCTCTGATAGCATGGCGAGGTAGGTGAGGAGAGCCATCCGAGAGCAGGTGGGTGAGGCTGAGGTGGCCAACCTTGCAGGAGGCGGCTCTGCTGAGGGGCTAACTGGCAGTGGGACTCCTGTGTGCTCAGGCTCCACCAGCGACCCTGTCACCTCGGGGCGACAGTGCTTTACTTTAAAAGATTTGCATATGCTAAATAGGATTGTCAGCAGCTATAGAGGTCCTGGGGGTAATTGGACTAGTAAAGTGTTTTTCCCTGAAAAAGCCTTCTTATAAGACCTATGGGACATCCCAAGCCCTGTCACAAGGCAGTCCTGCATGTGGGCACTTCAGACTGGCCTCCTTTCCCAGAGAGGCTCATGGTTTTTGTGCCCTCCCAGGATCAAGAGCCAGGCCTGGCCATCTGGGAGCCATTTTCTATGAAGCCAACCTACCCTCCCCATTTCATGATGCTGCATCTGGAAAAAAGCTAGGGCCCAGGTAGGATCCCCTCCCCACAAGGCCAGAGTCCCAGGGAGAGGCTGGCAGACAGCAACGGCTTCCTTCACACGTGCCCGGAGGCCAACACAGCTGCACAATGGGTAAACTGAACCTCGACCTCATGGCTCAGCCTGCTTGTCCCTGGCCTGCCAGGTTCCAGGAGCAAGGACAAACTGCAAGCCCAGCTGTGAGTTGGGCTGGTGCCCTCACTCCCGCGGGTTTTAGTGTTAATACTCTTACAGAAGGGAAGAAAGGCCATCATCCGTGCCCGGGACTAGCCCTGGGGCCCAGGCAAGTCTTCTGGAAGCTTTTTATTTTTGTAGGACTGACCATTGTGGCCTGCATAAAAACACAGGGGAAAAACAGGACCCCAGGGGGAATGGAAGGCCAGAATGAGCTCCAATGGCAGAAACTGCATCCGTGGACTCAGGAGGTGGGGACAGAGGTGACTGATACCCCTTGAGGGCAGTCTGGGCCTCTGTGGCCTGGGCCTGGCCTCGTGTGGAAGGAGTGTGTGCGTGTGTGTGTGTGAATGAAGAGCGTCAGCCCAAGCAGCAGAGGACCTGTCCCTCCTTTGGGTGGGGAAGGCCTGTGGGAGCTATACTGCATTCTGCTCTTGGAGGACAGAGTCTAGCAGCTCCCTAGACACTCCTATTCCGGATTAAGAAGATGCAGCATGAATTGCTGCCAATATCCACAGAAAAAACATCAGTCCTTTGCTCAAGTAAAAAAATATCAAATATAATAAATTTACGAAAGCTCATTCACAACACGTACAGTCTGTTTTGTGTTTCACCTCAACAGCTGCAATGACGAGTGCTTTGCAGAGCCCAGGGTGCCACCTGACTAGCCAGGCCCCTGATTTGTGCAGGGCTCCAGGCATAGCCTCCAGAATAGTGCTATAGGGCTCCTCCGCTGCTTCCGGCTGATGACACAACACCACAGAACTCTGCTGTGTGGATCCACAGGCCAAGCCCATCTCTCGCTCCTGAAGCCCAAGGCCAGGAAGGCTCCAGCACGCTGGTCTCGACTGCAGTCCGATTTGCCACGGTGCAAGAGTGTGCGTCTTGGCTGGTGGAGCCAGGCTCACACTATCGACTCTCGGTCCCTGTCCAGGGATGGGGGAAAGTCCGCAAGATCCTCACTGTGGCTATAGTCAGACATCCGCACTTGGAGGTTATCGCTGGTGGCCCTGGTGACACTGTCATAGGAGGGCGGGAAGGATGTGGAGGAAATGGAGGAGCTGGAGGGCGGCCTGTCCCGCTGGGAGAAGTTCTCGTTCAACATGTAGGCGATGAGGCCCTCTCGCTCAGGGGCATCCTCTTCGGAGAGGCCACCACTGCCCACCTGTTGGCGGAAGAGGAAGGAGGCATGTTTCACAGAACGCTGCAGCAGGTGCCTCCGGAAGGCCCGCTGGATGACCGTGGCTGACACCTCCTCGTGCTTGCGCCGGAGTGTGGTGGTGATGGGCTCATAGGAGATCTTGGATGGGTTGGCCGCCATGAACTTCTCTTCCATCTGGATCTTTAGGGCATCCATCTCCCCAGACTCCCCCAGGACCCTCTTGGTGAAGGCAAAGAGGATGTCCATGCAGTGGATGCGGTCCCCGCTCACCATGGGCAGGTCCATATTGATGAGGCTGATCTGGTTGGGCTTGGCGATTCGGAGTGGCTCAGACAGGGCGTCAGCAAAGTCAGATAGAGCCGAGTACTCGATGAACTGGGTGGCCTCTGGGTCAAACTTCTCCCAGATCTCATAGAACATGTCAAAGTCGTCCTCGCTCAGGGGTTCCGTGCTCTCCTCTGTGGCCACACTGAAGTTCTCCAGGATGATGGCGATGTACATGTTGACCACGATGAGGAAGGAGATGATGATGTAGGTGGTGAAGAAGAGGATGCCCACGGCTGGGCTCCCACAGTTGCCCCGGGAGCCGTTGCTGTTGGGCAGATTGGGGTCGCAGTAGGGGGGGCCCGTGTTGAGGATGGGGCTGAGGAGGCCGTCCCAGCCGGCCGACGTGGTGATCTGGAAGAGGCACAGCATGCTGTTGGCAAAGGTCTGGAAGTTAAACATGTCGTCGATGCCAGCCTCCCACTTGACATAAGCGAAGTTGGCCATGCCGAAGATGGAGTAGATGAACATGACAAGGAAGAGCAGCAGCCCAATGTTGAAGAGGGCGGGCAGGGACATCATGAGGGCGAAGAGCAGCGTGCGGATGCCCTTGGCCCCCCGGATCAGCCGGAGGATGCGGCCGATCCGGGCCAGGCGGATGACTCGGAAGAGCGTTGGGGAGAAGAAGTACTTCTGGATGATGTCAGACAGCACTGTGCCTGTGGGGAACAGCAGAGACTGTGGCCACTGACAGCACCCTGTCCTCCTCCCACGCCAGCACTACTCTCTGGTTAGTGAAGAGCCAAGGACAGGGGGCCCTTCCAGGAGGACTAGGTCCAATGAGCACGCTATACTCTGCCTCCTCCCTCTCCCTGGGACCCAAAGCTCAGGGTACACCTGCATGACAGAGTCATATCCACCTTCTACACTGTGGGTCCTGAGCCGAGAGGGGTCTCACTTAGCATTTTGGCGGTCTAGAACTCAGAGAATGCAGCCTGAGGGCCGGCGGTCATGGGCTCTGGGTGCCTAGTAGAGATGCAAAGTCTCAGCCCCGCTCCCAGCCCACCTCTTTTAACAAGCCTGGACAATTCATCCATGTGTGGTGGGGGGCAAGAAACACTGGCCCCAAAGCCATGCTCCCCAACCCACACCATGCCTCAGTTGCTTGTCTCCTCCTTTCTGTGACAGTTCTTGTCACCTTTCAACTTTGCTTCCAGCACTTCCGCACCCTTGGGTCTCTAGTGACTACCTGGATTTGGAGTTTTAAGGAACTTGGGTGTAAATTATAAAAGAAAGTGTGAAATTAACTTACCTTACATTGGTCCAAGTGACCTTTCCAGACCTCATATAATAATAATTTGCTGGCTGACATGTCAGTAGGGCACCAAGCCAAGCACTATATAGCACCATTCCATTCTGACCTTCTCATCACCCTGGAAAACTGAGCTAGTACCATCACCCTCATTTTCCAGAAGAGGAAGACCAAAGGTGAAGTAAATTACTCAAATTGCCACCGAGAAGCAAGGATTTGACCCAGACTCGGGCTCAGGTTGCCCTCTTAGCCATGGCTTCTGGTGTGGCTCACACACTGATACCAGAAGGCTGTCCTGAAGTACAGGCTGTGCCTCCAAAGCTTCCTGTGACTCTTCGTCATGGCTCACTCCTGCTGCTGATGTCCTGCATTCTCTGAAGGGTCTCTCCAGCTCCATGAGGCACCTGTCACCCTCACCTCCGCCTGGGACCTTAAGGCATTCCTGACCTTCCTTCTCTTTTCTAACTACTTGCCTGTCATTGCAGTTACAACCATGCCTGCCTTGGCCTCTGCATCGCCATTTGGGGTCACCAGAGGTGGAAACACAGAAGTCAGAGTTACCCCAAAGGCAGAGGCACCTCTGAGGGTAAGGTAAAGAGTTTGGGCTCTGAGCACAATGTGACCAAAGAAAAAAAAATTAGAATTAGAATTCATTAAAATTAAAAATTCCTATGCTTCAGTAGATATCACCAAACCTCACAGATAGGGAGAAAATATTTTCAAGTCATGTATCTCATAAAGGACTGGTATTTAGAATATATAAAGAACTCTTAGGGGCAGGGATTTAGCCCAGTGGTATAGTGCCTGACTGGCAAGCATAAGGTACTGAGTTTGATCCCAGTTACCCCCCCCAAAAAAAGAGAATGCTTACAACAACTCAACAATAAAAAGATAACCCCAATTTTAAAAATGAAGCAAAGAATTTGAACAAAGATTTCTCCAAGGAAAATATACAAATGGCCAATAAACACAACACAAGATGTCCAGCATCGTCAGTCACCAGCAAAGCATAACCCAAAACTTCATGAGGCATTAGTAATTCATAACTACCATGGCTATACTAAAAAAAATAGAGAGCAGGGGCCATGTATTGGTGAGAAAGCAGAATAATAGGAATCCCCATAGACTGACGGTGAGCACGTAAGATGATGCAGCCGTCCTGAAAAGTATGGTCGTCCCTCGGAACTCTAGATTAGTGGCTTCCAGAAACCGTGGGAAAGGGGAAGTGGAGAATGACTGCTCCATGAGTGGAATTTCTCTTAGGAGTGAGAAAAAAAAATTACAAAGTTAGACAGTGCAGTTATGCTCTACCCTCCTTGTCTAGCTGTCTTGCATACCCACCCACGATGGAGAGGATGACAACCACGAAGTCGAAGATGTTCCAGCTGTTGGTGAAGTAATAGTGGCGCAGGGCGGTCATCTTGACAATGCACTCGCCTGTGAAGATGGCCACGAAGAGCAGGTTGATCTTGGACAAGATGTTCACTTTCTCAGGGCTTTGGTCATCAGTCTCCACCATCATGGTCACCATGTTCAAGCAGATAAGAAACATAATGGTGACATCGAAGGCCTGCTTGGTCACAATGTCAAACATGAAGCCCTGGTACTTGTTCTGCAAGGAAGGGCCAAGGGGACGAGCTCAGCAGGGACCTCAGACTGGCCGGTGACCCCCCGCCCCATCCCGGGGGGCTGCCTCTTGGTCCGACCACCTACCCTCCCACTCCACCCTCTGACCCCACCACGCTGCCTTGGCGGGTGCAGTGGAGGGTGCCGTGGTGGCCAAAACAGTAAGCTTCCTACCTAACATCCCAGGCTCTGAGGCCCAGCTCCAAGGCCCCGTTCTCCAGGAGGCTGTGCCTGATGGATTTTCAGGGAGAGATTTCTCCTATCCTGTGTCTCCTCAGCTCACACTCACAGGGCTTCTCTTTGTTCCCACAGGGGGAAGCCTCAAGTGAGATTTAAACTTCAATCCTAGTAACTGTATTGGCCCGCAGATGAGTCTATTTTCTCTACTTTTTAATGGAATTGATTTTATTTACTCTACTAAGTTAAATTATTCTATATTTGTCTATGTCTTCAATTATAAATCATCCTAGATTATTCTAGGGGAAGAGAAGATTGTAAAGAAGCAAACACATGGAAACCTAATCTAGAAGACTGGTGTGTGAACAACAATCAGACAAAAATGATAAGTTGGATTTAAAGAAAATCTAGGTGTGCCACTCATTAGATTGAGGTTACCTCACTTAATCATGTTGTGTTTTCTTCTCTTCCTACTTTTTGGAAGACTGGCTTAATCAGGCCAAGGAATACAGCCTAGCAGCACTCCTGAGCCCAGCTCTGCTCACCCAGAGATTCTTGAACACAGCTCCTGATAACACAGGAGGCAGCTATGGGTCAGGTAGGGGCTGGAATGCTGCCTGCATTCTTCAGGGAAAACCTGTACCTCTGAAGGGTCAGCAGTACCCCTTAGATGACATAGCTTTCTTTTCTGTTACCCATGTGTGGCAAGGACCTGTGTGGGCCAGACATTCACGAGCACCCCCAGATGGGATGACACATTGTGAAGAGGCTCTAGTGGCTGGCTGTGTGGCTGGGGGATCCCATCCAGAAGACTCTACCCACTCTTTCAGGAAGCCGGGCTCACCAGGGGCCGAGGGATGGGCTTCTGGGGCTTCTTGGAGCCCAACTTCTTCATGGCATTGTAGTACTTCTTCTGCTCCTCTGTCATGAAGATGTCCTGGCCCCCTAAGTGCAGAGACACAAGCACCAGACTCATTTTGGAGTTCTTAGAGCCCCAGCATGGAGAACACAGGGTCCTGCCTTCTTGATCAAGGCACCAGAGTCAAGTGGGTCGCTTCCTCTTTTCTCTTGGTAGAGAAATGATATCCCTACCCTGCACCAGACAGTCTACCCAGACTTGTTCTTCCAGAGTCCCTGCCCCCATTCACCTTGATATTTCCTTGGCTTGGTGACCCCAAAATCCAATGCCCACCTCACCTCTTCCCCTTGCCCAGCTCAGCCAGTCCTAAGGCTCTCTCTGCCCCCTTGGTTTGCCTGCAAAGAGTCGTGGCCCCCATGATGGAGCTCCAGGAAGACTCTGGGCCTCTGCATCGCCCCACCCACAACCTCTGACTATGGCCCAGGTGAAAAACCAACCCTCACCCCTGCAGCTCTCAGGGAAGGCACCATGTCTTCCACCAAAGCCCCTTCTTACATTCATATGGGCCTTAGCATGTTACATCCATTCTACCACAGTAAGAGGACCAACCCCAGGAAAGGGGAGATGGGCCCTGTAGCCACACTGGCTCCTCAGTGCCCTGGCGCTGGCCCTGCCCAGCCCTGCTCTGCCCGTGTGGAGTGGTGCTCTACATATCTTTTTCTTCTGTTGGTTGAAGTTGTCAATGATGACACCAATGAAAAGGTTCAGGGTGAAGAAGGACCCGAAGATGATGAAAACCACAAAGTAGATGTACATGTAGAGGTTGTACTCCCACTGGGGCTGCTCTTCGTACTAAGGGGAGAGATCAGACAGGGAGATCAGAGGGGCTGAGTTCTTAGGATCTGACAGGCGTGGGGGGTGGCAGAGGGCCATTCTGTGGGACAGGCTGTGTCTGTGAACACAGAGCAAGGCCACAGGAAGGTGGGACAGAGGTAAAAGGCATGGACAGTGCCAGGCAGGGGCAGCAGGACTGCCACGCTCAAGACTGGCACTGTGTCTCTGTGTGACTTCAGCTCCAGGGCCACTGATAGGTTGGGTGTTTTGGGGCCACTCTTAGTCTTCACTGAGCTGCCGGTGTGGTTGAGTGGGGCACAAGGACAAAGAAGATCTCTGATTTTCATCTCTGTCACTGTCATCTCATTCTCCTGGGATAAGATGTGAGTAAACTACAGTGAGCTTAATTTAAAACATATTCAAGAACTGGAGTCTTCTTGGGAGGTCATGCGATCCTGCTCTAGAGCCAGGCCTGGGTGCTCCAGCGAGGCTGAAGTCACACAAGAGCTTGCCCTGGCAGGTAGGGTGTTCACATGTGGACACTGATTCTCTGGCAGCCAAGCAGCCAAAAGCTTCAGATGCTCCATTTGGTGACAGAGGTAAGGGTGGCGACCTACCCCTCTGGAGTCCACAGCTGCATACATGATGTCCATCCAGCCCTTAAATGTTGCCTGGAAGGAAAAAGAGTGGTTAAGCGAATCACTGAACTCTTCTTCTTGCTTGGGCTGTGCAAGGCTCCAATCTTGACAGACGAGGGCAGGAAAGCACCTCCTATAGGAAGCGGGCCCTGCACACCCATTCAGTTGGGTCCAAATGGCTGGGTGGTCCATGGAAAGGTCTCACTTAGGTCTGAGGGTGAAAGGGAAGCAGGCAGATAGATACTGTGAGAAGGCTGTGCTGTGAGAGGTAACCTTCCTGAAGGTGCCTTGAAGGGAGGTCTGCCTTTGCCTTCACATGTACTTCAGATCCTAACATAACAGTCTCAATGGTGGGCATCAGGGATGAAGAGGTGGGGCTTGGACTCCCTGTCCCAGCTTAAGGTCGACCTCAGGGCTGACCTGGTCCCCTCATCCTGCACTTCAAGGAACCATGTGACTTCTGCTCTGTGGACTTTCCCTGAAGTGCATGAAAAACCCATGCCTTGGCCTTCTGGGCAGTGGTACGTTGGTCTTGGATTTCCAGAAAGAGAAAAAAACCTTCATTGTTGTGTTAGCCAATTTCTCTTACATAAATACTCCTTCCACAGCCAATTTCAAGTCACCAATATGTTATTACCGAACAGAGAGTTGGAAAGAGATGTGTGGAGGCACATTGTTACAGTATTTCTAGTACAGATAGAATGGGTGTAAATAATGTTAACAGCGCAGATGATAATAAAAAGTAATGCTGAGTTTTGAGTATTTGCTACTTCTATTTTAATCTCATTTAGTTAATTATACATTTATAAAATTTAATTTTTTATAATGACTGTGTTTAAGGCTTGCAAAATTTCTGCTAATGTCACACCCAGACCCAGCACAACACACCAAGAAACAGCTGGCTGGGGGATGAGTGAAGAGGACAGGGTCCTGGTATAACCACACTGGCTGCCCCGGTCTGGGATGTTAGGAAGATTCAGAGAGTGCTGAGAGACACGCTTGGTGGTGAGGTCAGTAACCCAGTAGGGTCTTATTTATGTATCTGGCAAAACCTAATTCTGCTCCGAGCCTCTCTTCAGTGTACAAACTCAGCTACACAAACTTTCTGTGCCTAAGCATACTGAGGCAATCAAGTACTATGTTTGCATCTGGAGTGACCCCAAAAGTCTATGTGGCACAGGCCTGGTTCCCTGCAAGACCTCTGGGGACATAGGGAACCTTTCAGAGGTGACACCTAGCAAGAGGTCTTCAGGGTACTAGGGTGGTGCCCTGGAAAGGGGGTCGGGGGATTACTGCTGGGACCTAAGGGATGGGCAGAGCTGTGAATGGATGCACAGAAAGTTTCCAGATGATAGTCTCCTGAGTTTCCCTTGATTTTGGGGAGCTAGAGATGTCCAGGTTTATAATTAGGTAGCAAGATAATCAAGGTGCAGCTTTATGCATTATAATTCTGCTGGCATTTCTGCTGTCAAGGCTAATGGCAGGTTAATTTTATGGCATATGTTATAATCACCGACGCTATCAAATTCACAGAATCAGTGGAAAGTCTAAAAGCACTGCGTGTTTAGACACTACATATCCTGCACCTCAAAGATAGAAGAAAACATATTCTTAAAAAAAACACAAGAGGTGTTACTTCTTTTTACAACAAAGGGGTGGCCAGAGCTACAGTTTTGCTAGTAGTCCAGCCCTGGGGAGTCTACAGTTTTTCGTGTTTAAGTGGTCCCATCACACTGCCTCCCAGATAGTCTGAAGAGGTCCACTTGACTACTGGCTGGGAAGCTGGTTCTGCCACAGTGCTGACCTGGCCCTCGTACCATGTGCCTTGGAGCATGTGGCATCTGTTCTACAGCTGAAAATCTGGGGACTTCCCAAGGCCCCAGAAAATCCTTACCCTCCCTGGGGTCCACCACCCACTGTTGCCCACACCAGGGACGAAAGCAGGTGCTGCTGGGGAGCTGGTGGGAGGAGAAGTCCCTCCTCTCTGAGACTTACCACCTGCAGGAGGGCCAGGTACCCTGCCCCCACGTTGTCAAAGTTGACCTTCACTTTGGTCCAGTACAATTCGCCAGTCACATTGAAGGACTCGCACTCGCTCTTGTTGTTCACAATGGTGTAGTTCAGAGGCAGGTCTCCCTCAGTCTGGTTGATGCACCTCCCAAACTTGCCCGCGAAGAGGTTCACACCCATGATGCTGAAGATGAGCCAGAAGATGAGGCAGACGAGGAGGACGTTCATGATGGATGGGATGGCACCCACAAGGGCATTGACCACCACCTCAAGGGGACCAGGAGGAGACTCAGTTCTTGCGGGTGCCCAGATCATATGCCCTTCTCCAGACTGCCCTCAGAACTAATTCCCTGGCTACAGGTGGCTGCAAGCAGGGAGAGTGCAGATCTATGGTAGTGGGAGAGGCCAACTTCATGGCTGGAACCATGGCAGAACACACACACCTATCTTTGTACCATCATAACCCCAGATCATATGTGTATCTCTTATTGGCTCTGCCTCA